TTTGAATATCTTTCCTTTTAAGTTCTTCTGCCTGGACCCTTCAACTTGAGAGTTCAACTGAAAGGTTAGAATGTATTTCTGCGGCCATATCAAACTTTTACCCATGAACCACCTTAGAGCTCCTATCGACAGGAAGGAGTTACAATGGAGATATTACCACATCTGAAATGGCCATGCAGACATGGTCATGTCAGCATGCCAAAAGCGAGAGAGAATCCGTGCTGATTGTGGCTGCCTCTGTTTCCCCAATGGTGACTGGGAACCTTGGGCTGAGAGCATCCCTCAACATAGGCATCTTTCCCACCAGACGAGGCTGGTGCTAGGCAACCCAGGAGTGACCCTGCCTCCTGGCCACCCCAGGCCTTACAATTGCATTCTGCGTGTTCACTCAGACACACTGTCTATTGGACAGCACAGTTGAAGTAGGCAGTGGGAGAAAGCTACGCGGTTACTGTCTCAGATTTCACATGTGGTTACTGTGGCAGCTTGGATGTGTAATGTCTCCCCAAGGGGCATGTCTCAAGCACGGTCTCCAGCCCTGGCAACTACTAGCAGGTGACGCAGGCTCTAAGAGGCAGGGACCAGGGAGAGGCCTTCTGATCCCTGGAGGCGTGTCCCTAAAGGAGTTGATAGAAACTTGGTCTTTTCTCTCTCAGGACAAAGGCAAATTTGCTCTACCAGACACACCTGCCATGATTTGCTTCTCCCAGTCCCAAACCAGCAGAGCCAAATGATCGTACACTGTAAACCTCTAATACTGTAAGAAAAAAAATCCATCTTTTCTCTTTATGGGTTGGTTATCTCTGGTATTCACATAGTCATCGGAGGCTACAACGTTGTACACGGAGCCATGGGTTTATCTTTTCAACCTTGATAAGAAATTAAGCCAATGCATCTTTTCTCTATCCACTAATGAAGGAAGTGTTACCTGCCTGGCAACCCAGGGAGGAGACTCCCTTGAAAGGGCAAGAAAGCCTGCCTGGGGTCCTCTGAGGTCTCACTTTGGAAGCAAAGGACGGCATCAGTCTAGCTCCTAGGGAAGCTGAACGTAGCTGACAGGAATTCTTTGATAATGAAATTAAAGTTTTCCTTTGAATTTTAAGGGGCTTTTCTTAGCTTTGGGCAGAAGGCCAGACGACCGTGAAATAGAACGCACATGGAGGAGTGTGCAAAGTATAATAACGATGAGGAGGCAAGTGTCCAGGTGCCCACCACTGTGATGGGAGCCAGGGCATCCGTGCACGGCCAGTACTGTTTAGGGAACCATGTGTATGTTTGCTGCCACATATAAAAACTACTCACTTTATTTTATATGGATGTGTGCTCTGCCTGCACGTATGTATGTGCACTATGGGTGTGCCTGGTGCCTGTGGAGGTCAGAAGAGGGCATCAGATCTCCTGGGACTGGAATCATAGACAGTTTTGAGCCACCATATGGGTGCTGAGAATGGAAGCTGGTTCCTCTTCAAGAGCAGTAAGTACCCTTAACCTCCGAGTCACTTATTTAAATTTTGAAGCAGGGTAAATAAAAATGACTTCAACAGTGGGTTTTTAAGCACTGGTATTATTTTGACAGAATAACTGGGGCTTCATTTGTCTCGAGCAGCAAGGCATAACCACTTTCTTCTCCTCCAAAGAGACAAGCAGGCACGTGAAATAAATGCTTTCAACTTCAGTGAAAACAGGAGGATCCCTTTCAAAGGCTATACTACAATGAGAGATAGACCGACAAGAGAGAGGCATGGATGTTTCAGATTTTAAAAGCTTCATGAACATTAGATCTCCTGGGATTGGCATTCTAGGCAGTTCTGAGCTGCCATCCTGGGCTGGGAATAGAACTTGTTTCTTCGACAAGAGCAGCAAGTGCTCTTAAACACTGAGCCATTTCATTCAAGGCAGGGCACCTCATCACTTTTGAATGGAGGTCTGAGTACTATTATCATTATAAGGTAATAATTTGGGGCCCAATTCCAGATAGAAAGCGAAGGCATACAAAAGTTCTTGTTCCTCTTATAGCACACTGTATTAACTCCGCTGTAGCCTCCCGTTGTCTCAGTAAACACCTTGTTAGCAGACTTCTCCTGTCTGTTAACTGAGTGCATTTTTGCTTGAGTAAGTCCAGAAAGCAAACAGACTCTTGCCTGTTAGTTTTGATACTTATGCTTATTTATATGTGTAGCTTCTTTTTTATTTTTATTTATTTACTTATTTATTTATTTTTTCTAGACAGAGTTTCTTTATTCAACAGCCCTAGCTGTCCTAGAACTCGCTCTTGTAGACCAGGATGGCCTCCAACTCACAGAGATCCCCCTGCTTCTGCCTCCTAAGTGCTGAGATTAAAGATGTGTGCCACCACTACCCGGCTATGTGCAGCTTCTTAATACTTTTCAAAATATGAAGAAAAATGAGCTTATGATTATAAATGAAATTAGCAACATAGGACCAAATTCAAGAATACAAAACTACAGAGAAGCTTGCCAGGACATCATATTTGTTTCTAGTCTTTCTTTCCCCAACTTTTGTTACTCCCAGATGAGGTAGAGTTCCATTTCCAGGCAAAATTCAGAAAAAGAGACAACTGCTGTTCTCAACGTATGGGTCACAACTGTTGTGGACTGTTTCTTTAACTAGGCAAATACGTGTTGCATTTGTTTATGCTGTGGAATATCACTTTAACTATTTAAAGGTGTGCTACATTTGTTTAGTTATGTAAAGGTGTGTTGCTGTTTCACCTTGTTTGTCTAAGGCACCTGATTAGTCAAATAAAAAGCTGAGTGGCCAAAAGCTAGGCAGGAAAAGGATAGGTCGGGCCGGCAAGCCGAGGAAATAAAGAATATGAGGAATTTAGGCTGGAGAGAAGACGAGAACAAGGAAGAGAGGGAGAAGCCTGGAGCCAGGCAGCCAGGCAGCCGCCAGCCTGTAGTCATGGAGCAGGACATACAGAAATAAAGGTAAAAAAGCCCTGATGCAAACGTGGATAAAGAGAAACAGGTTAATTTAAGTTAAAGAAAAAAAAGCTAGCCAGAAATGAGTGCATGTTAAGGCTGAAAATGCATAACCACTAAGTTTCTGTACCTTGATTCGGGAGCTGTTTGGGGGCCCAAGAGAAAAAGCCTGTTACAACACTTTTGTAGGTTGCATATCGGATATCCTACATATCAGATATCTGCATTCCAATTAATAACAGTTGCAAAATTACAGTAATGAAGTAGCAACAAAAATAGTTTTATGGTTGGAGGGTCACCAAAACATGAGGACTGGATTAAAGGGTCGCAGCATCAAGAAGGCTTAGGACCACTGAGTTATAAGCCCTCTGGAAGATAATTTAAAAATGAACAAGAAATAGGAAAGGTTCTGTTGAGTTTCCTCCTGCTTTGGGGTGACTCGGGAAGAACAGGAGGCTCCGTGTTGAGCCTTGCTTTCTGCATAAATCCACCTAGCGCTTAGCACTATGAACTTGTTTTTCTTTGGCCAAAGGTTGAAAGGGTAAATTTCCAAAATTCCGAACAGATTTGACAAGTCGTTACTCATGTTTATGGGAGAGCGCAGTTGCCAGCTGCAGAGTTACCTAACTAGCTCTTATTTCAGAGACTCTTCACCCTGCTACTAACAGTATCATTGACCAGAAACCAGCTGCAGACAGGTCTTCAGTGGGGAAACGCCAGGCCGCTCTGCCCACGCCTGCCCTAGGGATCCCAGGGGTCTATATGAATCAATTCCAACGGTAGCCAAGAAGCATCTATAGAGAAAGCTGGTAGAGACTTTTGATGGGCGCTGGGTACCATAGATGCGTGTTACATCACCAAGTTAAGATGAAGAACAGGCTGTAGACCGGGTTTTCGTTCTCCCCTAGAGAGGATTTTCATTACTCCGCACATTATAAATTCAGCTATAAATCAGACACAGTGATAGTTCGTTCTACCTAGCAAAGGTACCAGGTGAGAGACACGGGTGCCAATGATTTTAGGAGGGAAGGCGGGAAGGACTGATTAAAAACAAGGCTCTCGCTCTTGCTTGCAAAGCACATCCAGAGCTGTGTCTAGACAGTCTCAAAAATCCAAAGCCCTTGAGAGCAGAACAGTGAGAGGGGGATTGAGATGCCAGCCCAGACAGACAGCTGGATCCCAGGTAATCAAAGGCAGTTGACCCGGTGAGAATCCACTTGGCGAGACAGAAAAGAGCTGGGAGTTCCCCTTTGGGGCCCTAGCATTCTGCTTCCTGGCATGAGGACCCACAGAATGGCAGCTTCAGCAGCTAAGTTCCAACACGTGAAGCCATGGGTGTGCCAGGTTGCTTAGGAAAACGACAGGGTGGACACCTGGGTAGGAACTGGACCAGGCAGCCTCTGAGGGGCTCATGCACAGAAGACCTTTGGTGCACCACACCCCTTTACTCAAAATCTTGAACGAATAGAAAGAATTGTCTCAGTAATTCTACGAACCAAGTCTACCCTGGGTGTTTAGCGTGAACTAATGATAATGTACAGTTTTCTAAAGAGAAGAATTAAGAGGAGGCAGAGAAAATGAGAAGTCTAAGAGACGATGTGGGAAGTGTGTGTGTGTGTGTGTACAAATCTTCTCTGGTGTTAATTTATTAAAAAAATAGTCATGCTCTTTTCTTGAACTTGGATTGAACCCTGACCCTGACCCTGGTTAAAGAAGTTCAATGTGGGGCTGAAGAGAAGGCTCAGTGGTTAAGCACTTGTTGCTCTTGCAGAGGACCCAGGTCTGGTTCCCAGGACCCACATGACCGCTCACAACCATCTATGACTCCTAGGGGATCTGATAATCCTCTTATGACCTCTGTGGGCACCAGGCACGCACATACTGCATAGGCATACATGTAGGCAAAACACGCAGACACATAAAATAAAACAAAATACATCTTAAAGGGGGGCAAATTTGATATTGGTGGTGCAGACATTATTTAGACACTGACTAGAAGACACCATGATGGCTCACTGATAGTCTGGACTGAGGCTGTTGGGGACTCTCAGGTACCTGTTTTGGTCAAGGGGATTGAGAACAGTTGCTGAAGAAGTTTGTTCTCAGACGTCCTCAGGACTACAACCACATCAGCAGGGAGAGTGTCTCTGTTTTTCTCAAGAACCCCAGAAGCATCATATAACACCTGGAAAACACAGCCAAGTGTACAAGTTAACTAAGGCAAGTGAGTATGGCTAGTGATACTGGCAGATCATCTGAGTAGCCATTGTCCAGCGCTGGCTATAACTATCCTCTTACACTTGGACTTTTGGCTACCGAGCACCAGATAAAAAAGGAGGAGTTGTACTTTTGACGGGTCAGTTTATCTTGGCTTCTTGTCCAATTATTTTTGAAGAAAAGTGGTCCCACTGAAGATATAGCACATCAGAAAAACTCTTAAAATATACTGAGTAGTCATGTGTGAAACGCCCATCCTCATTCTACGGATAGGTAAGCAGGAGCTCAGCAAAGGCCTGAAGGAGGTAAGAGTCCGGTGATCATCATACTGGGACAGACGGGCTTTTAGCTCATGACCGCCACACCCTCTCGGCCTCTCAAAGTACTCATGGAATCTGAGTGATCAAAGAGTCTAAATGGTTCTTGGTCCTCAGCAATGAGTGAATCCAACTTAGAAGTATCTTAAGGGATAATCTACAAATTACTGGAGTGGTGTAGTGGTTTGAATGAGGATGTCTCACATAGGCTCATATGTTTGGTTCCCAGTTTGGTGAATTGGAAAGGATTAGCAGGTGTAACCTTGTTGGAGTAGGGGTGGGCTCTGAGCTTTCAAAAGCCAATTCCAGGCCCAGTCTTTCTCTTTATCTATCTATCTATCTATCTATCTATCTATCTATCTATCTATCTATCTATCTATTCATCCATCTATCATCTACCTATCTATCTCTCTGTGTGTCTCTCCGTTTCTCTTTTCCTCTCTGCCTGTAACCATACTTCCTGCCATAGTGGTTATGGACACACCCTCCAAAACTGTAAGCAAGCCCCCCAATTAAATTATTTCTTTTAAAAGTTGCCTTAGCCATGGTGTCTCATTATAACAATAACAACCTTAACTAAGAAATGTAGTAAATAAGTTCAGCAAAGAGTTCACAAACCAGAGAGAAAAGGATCCTAGGAAGAAAAAAAAAAGAGAGAGGTATGGGTAGAAAAATGTACACAAGAGGAAAAGAAGGAAAGGGGCAAGAGAAAGAGGACAAGACAGAGGCACAGGGGATAAAGAAGACAAGTTTACTTTCAACTGAGGATATAGATATGGAAGATGATTTGGATACATCACACATCAATAGAATAATCCGAAATATCTTTTGTTGAACCCCACCCATTTTCTGGATCTAGGGCCTCAATAAACCTCATAAGAATTGGTCACAATTCAGTTGGTTTATCTGGGAGAAACACAGCAATGAGCTGTCAGCTATGGACTGGACAGTTTTCTAAATTAGTCATCAGTCGGCTTCAGGGACTTGAATTGAGACAGCAGCATGGTACATGAGAAATGGGGGTTCCATCTTATGTAGAAAAACACAGCTGGACGGGTGAGATTGCGTCTTTTTGTTGGACACTTCCAGTGGTCAACAGACAATAAAACCAGTCCCACTGTGTTCTCAACACAGTCAGCCGGACTCTATCCAAATGACTTCAGAATGTGAACATTTACCACGAACCCCTACAAAGGCTGTAGTATGTTTCCTGTCTAGAGAGCTGTCAGCTCTGGGCCAGCCTTCAGGCAGGAAGCAGGTGGTAGCTCCATGGGCCACCACATCTGTACAGGGCACCACTGAGGACACTTGGGAATTACGATCAGAATCAAAAGGAGGATGCCAGCAGTTTAGTGAGCCTCCCTCTGAGGGACACAAATCTCTTGTCATTCTTGGGTCCCCTAACTTCTGTCCCTCTCACCGGTCCGGCGTAGTGTTGAATGCCAAAGCAGAGCTCCACTCCTTTGGGCCTCCAGAAGAATTTGCACCGTAGGTTGTCTGCAAATTTATCTGTGTGCAGAGAAGAGGAGACTGAAGTGCTCATTTCTAAGTGGGACATCTATAACACACGCACGCACGCACGCACGCACGCACATGCCAAGGCTCAAGGATTATCACAGAAGCAGTGAAAAGAGAGGGCGCAGATGTAAGTAGTGAAAACAGTGTTTGCTGGATTTGACAGTCTAGCTGCACGCATGAGCCCACAGCAGCTCCCACATGCAGTCTGTGACTATGTCTCTGTCACAGTTCACAAGGCCTGCCCAAGATTAAACCAACTCCAAATCTCAGCATGGGGGTGTTGCAAGGAAGTCACTTGTTTGCCCCGGCCACTCAGAACCAAAGTAATCACAAAGAAACCACATTATTTAAATCACTGCTTGGCCCATTAGCCCTAGCTTTTTATTGGCTAACTCTTACTTATAAATTTAACCCATCTCCATTAATCTGTTTATGGCACATGGCAATGGCTTACCAGGTAAAGTTCTGGTGTCTGTCTCTCTGACTCCACCCTTCCTTCTCCCAGCATTCAGCCTTGCTTTCCCTGCCTAGCTAAGTTCTGCCCTGCTATAAGTCCAAAGCAGTCCTTTATTAACCAGTGGTAATCACAGCATTACAGAGGGGAATCCCACATCACTGGGGAGGGACCCACGAAGTTCCACTTTTTAGATGAGAAGCAATTGGCAATTGACAGTTGCTAGAGGGAGGAAGAGGTACCTGAGAAGGTACCATGCTCCTGAGACGGCCCCACAGTCATGCATATATAGACCTAAATAACTCGGGGCCATTAGAGCAGAGAGGGTTGCTTGGGCACATGGAGTTGAAAAGGGAAGGTAATGGGAGAGTGGAATAATGGAAGAACAGAAGGGGAAGAGATGGGAATAGATTTGATCTAAACACACCAAATGAACATATGAATATTAACAAAATATTTTTAAATTTGACTCATATGGATTTTCATGATAGAGTGTCACAGTGGGGATTGTTTGCTCTTTCAAACACAAATCTGCTCCTCTAGCCAGAGACACTGAATAGGGGCTTGCAGACCAGCCCCACGCAGCCCCACTCAGGTGGGCGGGTCCCATGTTGCCTTGCTTTAGCTGTTAAGATTTCACAGTTCCTTCCTCTCTCTAGGAAATACTAAGTACAGACACCCTAGACAATTTCAGATCCTGCCAAGGAGCTTTGGAACCATGCAGATAGGGTAGGAGGGCAGATAGCTCCAGGTTAGCTTCATCTGGACAATGTGCAGGTAAGAGAAAACCAGTGGTGCCGACAGCTTCAACACTTGGAACTGAGTCTCTCACACATAAATTTCCATTTGAGGAAGGAACTTGAAAATTTCTACTCTCCCCGACAACAACTTTTACATTATTGTGGACCTGACTGCGAGAGTTCAGTGTGAGGAACTGTGCTAGGTACTGAAGGCAGACGAGGAACTGGGGCCCAAGGGCTTCTCACATCACAATACAGGTAAAAAACAAAGTTCATTTAAACTGAAGGGACGGTGAAGGATGGGGACGAGGCTGGATGTGGGCAAGACAGAGAAATTGGATATGGACTGGGAAGACAGTTCAGTCAGTAAAGGTACTTGTCACCAAGCCTGATGACCCAAGTTCAAACACAAGGTAGAGGGAAAGGACAAACTCCTGCAAGTTGTCCTCTGAAAGATAGAGAAATGGATGGATGGATGGATGGATGGATGGATGGATGGAAGAACGGATGGATGGACAAATGGATGGATGGATGGATGGACAGATGGACGAACGGATGGATGAACAGATGGATGGATGGATGGACGGATGGATGGATGGATGGATGGATGGATGGATGGACGGACGGACGGACAGATGGATGGATGGAGAGACGGACGGACGGACGGACGGGCAGGCGGACGATGGATGGATGGATGGATGGATGGATGGACGGACGGACGGACGGACGGATGGATGGATGGACGAATGGAAGGATGGATATATAGGTAGAGAGATAGGAAGATAGATAAGTAGATGGATATGAAAAACAGAGGACTTCAGATGCTAGAAGGAGGTACATAATCTCTATCCAGAAGATACTGGTAACCTAAGAAGAGGTGGCTTTAGAAAGACTAAACCAGCAGGAATGTCTACAGAAAAGGGGACATTGGACAACCTGGGACTAGAGGTAGATAGGAGCCCCGGTGAAGACATGACACAGGTCTGCAATGAGGATATGAAGGACCACTTCTTAGCCTTTGGGCTAAGATAAAGTGTAAAAGGGAGAACTTGGGCAGAGGAAGGTATAAGATGATATAAGCGTAAGGAAATAATATTATGAGTGCTGGCGGTAATAGGATGGGGGAGAGCATAGGAGTGGTGATAGATTTAAGTCACAAATTCTACCAGTCCATTTTAAATTTTTTTAATTTAAATCTATTTGGATTTGTGTGTGTATGCGTGTTCCTGCCTGTTTGTATGTGCACTGTCTGCACGCAGGTGCCAGAGGAAGCCAGAAGATGGTGCTGGAACCTCTGTGATTGGAGTTAAGTGTTGTAAGTTGCCCAACACGAGTGATGGGAACTGAATTCATGGTTTCAGAAAGAACAGTAGGTCCTCTTAACCTCTGAGCCACCTCTCCAGCCCCGCCAAGATCTATAGTTTTACAACCCACTAAGTGTCCAAAGTGAGTCAGAGACACTCCTTCTTAAAACTTAAAACACATCCACCTTGTGTCTTGTGCTAACTTCCACTCACAGTCTGTGAGCTTTTCCCTGAAAGGTACCTACCGACCAAGGTCTGGTCTGTCGCTTGGGGAAACCGACTTTCCTCATCCAGAAGGGCAAGGAGGCCCAAGGGTTTTTGGAGGAACATGTCCAGGAGCGGGCGATTGTCCTCATACTGCACAGGGACAGCATCAATGCCTTCGTTCTGGTACTCCATCTGGAGGGGAAACAGACCATGACTCCATGGCCTGAAAATGGCCTCCGAACCACCATCATAGTTTAGCCTGGACTTTCTGGGTCAGGTGGAATCGCCCTGCGAGGCAATGTACCTTTCCATGGAAATCGGGACCTTTTTTTATTTTCCCCAAACTGAATTTAGACTTTATTGTGACAGGACTGTCTCGCCAGTACTGTTTCTGAAGCCTTGTCCTGACAGTCTGACTAACCAGGTTTTGTTTCGAATTGTGGGCAGCCAGGCAGCCCTCCCCTGGCACCCCGCCCCATTACGCTTAGCTTCCAATTCAACCGCTACCTGCTCGAGAGCGAACACGTGCTGATTGAAGTAGTACTGGATCTGTTCGTTGGCGATGTTTATGCAGAGCTGTTCAAAGGAATTCCTCTGGAAATCCTCAAAGCCGAAAATGTCCAAGATGCCCACGTTCATCCTGTCCTCGGCACTACTGCAAGAGAGAGAGAGAGGACATGTCAGGAGAAGTTGCATCCAGCTACATTCTATCTCAAAGTAATAAGTGTATAAGTTCACACGTCCACCAACATTAATCTCGGCATTCAGGAGGATAAGGGCTGTCAGGAATTCGAAGTCATCCTGGCTAAGTGCAGGACTCTACCTCAATATATATCATTGGGCATGAACCTGGTTTACCTAGCTCCCCGCCAAGCCTCCCCCCTGTAGTGGCTCCATCAGGCATTCTCTTCTCAGGAGTAAATGTTTCCACTCTCCTGGCTCCCACTTGCCATATGTTTTTATCTGGCTGCAGGAGTGTGTTGACGCGATTCACAATCCAGCTGAAGAGCCTCCCATAGAGGGCCTTAGACATGGCGTCCCTGACGTCGGCAGCCCTGTCCACCGTGTTGGCTCGGACAATGGTCTCGCCCCGGGTGACCACACAGTGGGACGTGAGAGCCTCCAGGAGCTCTTCGGGGCTGATGCAGAGCACACAGGCAGCTGGAAAGAAAAGAGTAAATACTATCTTAAACGTGACGCCACGCTTTCACACAGCCCATGCCAGCCAGCACCTGCAGCATCCAGGGTGTGCCAGGCTCCATTCAAGGGGCTTCATGGTCCAGACAAGCAAGGTTCCTAACTTCAAGAAGCCTCTGGACTGTACAGCACAACTCCCAAACTTTCTGAATGTTCCCCATGAGTATTTAGTAAATAAAGGCAGGGGGATCTAAAGAGGGAGAGATCTTTTATCAAATAAATTGGAAGATTAGACAGTCACAAACACATTGGGTAGGAATGACCTTAAAAAGAGTGCTGTAGCTTAAAACAAAAAGGCCTTTTGGTTTTGGGGGTTTTTATTTTTATTTATTTATTTATTTATTTATTTATTTATTTATTTGGGACAGGGTTTCTCTGTGACTTTGGAGCCTGTCCTAGAACTAGCTCCTGTAGACTAGGCTGACCTCGAACTCACAGAGCTCCATCTGCCTGTCTCCTGAGTGCTGGGATTAAAGGCATGCACCACCACCACCCAGTTTAAGGGTTTTATTCTTATTAATTAATTTTTTTCATTTATTTTACACACTAACCACCATTTCCCCTCCTCCTCCTCCTCCTGTTTCCCTAACACACAATCCCTTCTACCCCCCATCCACTTCTCCACCTCCATTCAGAAAAGGGAAGGCCTCCCAGGGTTGCCAACAGGGCAAATTGGGGCAGGACCAAGCTCCTCCCCTGCATCAAAGCTGGGTGAGGCAACCCAGCATGGGGAGTAGGTTCCCAAAGCCAGTTCAAGCTCCAACAAAAGGCCCTGCTCGCACTGCTGGGAGCCCAACAAGCAGACCAAGCTACACAACTGTCATACATATGCAGAGAGCCTAGGTAAGTCCCATGCAGGCTCCAAAAAAGGGTTTCTTTTTTAATCAATTGTTTTGGAGACAGGGTCTCACTATGTAGCCTAGGCTGGCTTCAGATTCTGCACCCCAGGCCTCTCCACAAACTCTGAGATTACAGGCATGCAGCATCATAGTCAGCTGCTCATTGTTGTATAGACATGAAGACTCCTCACCCTTTCTTTTATCGTGCTTGCTAGTAGAACTTTCAAAATAAGGTGGTGCTGCTTTCTCTCCTACGGATGCTGAGTTTACGGATTCATTAACCTTTTATTTTTCTTTTTAATAAATGATTTTGCAAAGCAGCAAAAGTGGAGACCCACTGTGTAAAGTTTCTTGCCACGGCCAGGTTTTCTGCAGAACCACCGTCTATCACATAGAGGGTGAATGTTGCTATATCACAGGATGTCCTTCTGGAAAATGCTAGCTACTGGAACTGTAGTATGAGGGCCGGCTTGTTGGGGTTTCTGTCCCGCTCAGTACACCACAGCAGACATATCCCAAAGAAAATCACTCACAAGACTTCATAAGATTATAAACTGATTGGCCCATTAGGTCAGGCTACTTATTAGCTCTTATAACTTATGTTACCCCATTATCCTTATCTACATTAGCCACATGGCTCCGTACCTTTCTCAGCTGGGCAAGTTACATGCTGCCTATTTGGTGGTCTGCACCGGAATGGCTGAGGTAGCTTTCGCCTCCCTAGCCTTATCCTATTCTCATTGCCCCGCCTCTACTTCCTGTCTGGTTGACCCGCCTATACTTCCTGCCTGGCCAATCAGCGTTTTATTAAAATACATGATTGACAGAATACAGATAATTCTCCCACACCACTGAAACCATCTAGAGCTAATAGGAGGATGTTACAGTGGCATCATATTCTATAGATTCTTGGAAAACTGTGGAAGTGAAAGACATGAACTTTGATAAGAAAGCACGTAAGCATCAATTACCATTTTCCAAAGCTTCGGGGTTGGGTACCTCGCTTTTGTCCGTTTGGTGCTGAGAGGAAATAGCTGCAAACTCAATGTTCCCGATATTCAAAATCCCAGCCAGAATTCTGTACACGGAATGCACCTCCTGGAAAGGACAGGGAGAGCGATGCTCGGAGGTCATCACTGATCAAAGGGACAAATCATTCCCCCTTTAGTTGAAAATACCATACAGTTGTCCATCAAACTCTGTTCCGCCTCTTCCTGCACACACACACAGGTTCCCTAACCTTCTTGAAGTTAGAGGTAGCAAGGTCACTAAGCATTAACAATGAAACAAGTAGAATGTGCCTCCTTGAGTCCCAGGTCCAGGGGAACAGAGTACACTTTGTCCATGCTTTCTTTCTCACCGCTGCTGGTTTGGACTCCTGGACACCTGACCTCAACCTTGCACTAGACCAGCGAAGGACCACATGGAATGGAGATGTTCTGCCCCCTGGCATGGTGACCAAGAGAGAAATGACCTTTGCCCTTGAATTCACTTAACCTTTTGCTCTAATTAATCCGAGCTCCCAACTCAGAGATGGAACAAGAGAGATGTTCCCTCACCTCTTTTGGGTACAAAGTTTTATAAAATATCTAGGGGGTCACCCTAGGGCTTACTAGGGTATCTCAGAGCTACGGGTTGTAATGCCTGATGGGAAAACATATTTTGAAAGACCCTTGTCTCTAGCTCCTAGCATGAGAATTTCTAAAATTGTCTGGGTGATCAGATCTTTGTTATGACAGAAAATACTTTTAACCATACCTGTGTTTCTGTTAATAAGCGAATTTTAGTGGGCCTCTAGATAAGACTTGCAGTCTGAGAGGCTGGCTGCTCAAGGGAAAACCAATCTTAGAACTTAGTTCCCACCTGATCCCATCAAACTCTAGGGAGGGCTAGGGCTCCAAACTGAGTTAATTACAAATGACCAATAATTAATCAGGTGTGTGCGTATGTGGTATGATGTGGTGTAAACTTTACAAAAATCCAAAACAGGATCAGGGAGTTTCCAAACTGCTGAATCCATGTATGTGCTGGCAGGGTGTTGTGCTCAGAGGGCATGAGTTCCTTACTGTTTACTGCCCAGTTATTTTTCATTTAGCTATCCCTGGGTTGTAACCTGTATAATAAATCTGCAACCTTAAGTAAAATGTTTTCCTGAATTCTGTGATCTAGTTGTTAGCTATACTACTACTACTGATAATAATAACAATAACAATAACTAGAATTAGTTATACCGACTAATCAAGCTACAGAATAAGGTCATGGTCACTTTTATAACCAGTTCAGAAGTAGAAGACGCCTGGGGCTTCCGGCTGATGTCTAAAGTGGGGGCTCTTGTGGGACTGAGCCTTGAACTTGGAGGATCTGATCCTAACTCTAGATGAGAGGCTGAGTAGAATTGTAGGCCACTGAGTTGGTATAAGAGATTCTTTGATAGGGAATTTCAGAAAATAAAAAGTTTCACATATTTGGTGACATAAATTTGAGTAAAATCCATCCAGATCATCTAAGCCCTGTTTTCATGTTCAAAGTTGAGTATGTAAGTAGCACTAATGGATTAAAAATAAGGCATGCTTATAATTTGTTTAAATTTTTCATTTTCTATATGTACAATAAGGAAACATCTAGTTGGGATTTTTTTCCCTGAATTTTATGCTAATAAACAAAACTACTTCCATAAAACATATTCAAATGGGCTGTTTGATTTAATACTATACCCAGCAGTCAAGTAATAGGAACTGTCACTGGACCACTGATAAATACTGCCCCCCAAACTGAGCCTCCCTGCAGACATTACTCAGTAAAGCCTCAAATCTGAATGCAGGCTGTAACACTGACATCTGCCGGATGCCTGATAATGCTGCAAAGACAAATGAGGACTAGGAGTCAGGCTTCTGCCATAGATAAGTATTGTTCTTCCAGCTTCTAAATCAAGGGCAAGATGTCATGTTCCAGACTTCGCGAATCCCTATTTAATCACGCGATTTAAAAGTGGCTAAGGAGAACACCTACCAAATGGGTTTTTTTTAAAAACTTGCCTGGATTTAACATGACAGCCCCTCATTACCGTGATCAATACAGGATGAGCCGCATGCATCAAGCGACTCCCAACAGCGGCAGATCTGAGAGTTTGCAGCCAAGATCGCAGCGATGGGTTCTGCTTCTACCGTGTCTGTATCCAAGGGGTTATCTAAAACTCTCCTCACCCTAAGGAAAAGTGTAGCTCTTCCAACAAACACACACAGTCCCTACCATCCAAGCTGAGGCATCTCCCCCGAAAGAGCTTCAAGCACTTCAGCACTGTGATGATGAGCTCCTAAAAAATGAACACCTGAGACCATGCTCATGAGATGAACAACTCACCACGCTGCTTCTCTGGCCACGTTCTCTTCAGTGCTACACCCAGAGGGTCAGCAAAAGTGAGACCCTACCTCTGACCTCCAGTGAGCACGTTTAGATTCAAACCCCATGCACTAGAGCTGCTTCCTTAGGTCTCCTTCCTTGGATCAATGAAGGAAGCAGGGATGGTCTCATCCCCCTCAGGTGCCACCTATGTGGCATCTCTGGGATTGTCTCCCACTCTACTCCATTAGCCTGGCCTGGGGGTGAATCACGTCTTCCTTTCAGACCTAGGAACCGCCACCTACCTCAGAGTTCAATTCAAAATACCATAGCCAGCCATGCTAATGCTCTGAATGCTATCATGGAATGGCTCCACCTTCCCCAAAACTTCTTGGTTGAATGGAAATCTCTTTCACCTTCCTTAACTTGTTTTCTTTTGCCTCATCAGAGCTATGGAAACTTTTCTGGAACCTCGGCCTTCCCTGTGGAGTCTTACGACTCTATTTTATCTATTTCTAGTCTCTACCTTTCTATATGATACAACGATCAAACCTCACTCAAATGAGAGTTTTATTAAGAAGGTTTAGCAAGGGGGCTGGAGAGATGGCTCAGAGGTTAAGAGCATTGCCTGCTCTCCCAAAGGTCCCGAGTTCAATTCCCAGCAACCACATGGTGGCTCACAACCATCTGTAATGGGGTCTGGTACCCTCTTCTGGTCTGCAGGCATACACATAGAGAGAATATTGTAAACATAATAAATAAATATTTAAAAAAAAAAGAAGGTTTAGCAAGTCCTCCAACTGGGTCATCTCAACATACCGCTTCTGAGCAGTTCAGTCAGCAACAGTGGGAGAGGGAAGAACCCTTAGCCACCAAAGCTTTCTTTTCTCAGTTTTTCCCAAGGCAAGTGTTGCCTAGATGGTGTTCAGGCCAAGTTCAACGTTAGGAAGGACTTGCTGCTGATTTGCTGAAACCACTCTGACCTGGCTCCTCAGGTGGAAGCCAGTGGAAATATATTTATCCCTTTCTTTTCTCAAAATCTCTGATTTTCACCAGTTCTGTCTACTGTACCGGAATCAGGGTCAGCGGAAGATTATAACATATTACTTCCCTCCTTGGCACCCAGGGTTTCATGCCCCTTTAGGCCCGACAATTCGCTTACATAGTATGTTAGGGTAAAGCCTGTAGCAGCAGGGTCAGCGTTATTTAATATCCAACAGAAACAGCCTGGTTGGGCTCAAGACACCTCAGCTGGGTTTACGGTCAAATCCCCTTGTCCCTTGTCAAACCCCCATTATTCCTTCTGCCTGGAATGTTTCTTCATGGAACTCCCAGGGCCAAACATTATTCTGAATGCTTTTGGATGGAGCCTGGAATTAAAATCTCTCAAGTCTGTACTAAAGTTTGTATGCCATAATTTTTTTGTGAGGTTTTGTGTGTGTGGGGGGAGCAAACAAAAAAAAAAAAAAAACTTGAGGAGTTCCCACAGGGAACTAGGGACCTTCTAAGAAAGGACCGGAAATACAATTTTAATTGAATTGGTCAGTTCATTTAAGCTCTGTTGAGAAATGACTGGCAGGAAATCGTTAGAGAATTTCTGTCCCATCAGCTATTTGGCATCTGCTGCCTGATTCTACACAACCTAGTCTTCCTGAATTTAGTCATGGTGCCGTGACTTTCTAAACACAACATGGGGTGATAATTCAGCGGAGAAGGTTGTCTGCGGAGATATAGGGTCAGAGAGATAAAACCCATCTCCTCTCTTGCTAATTAACTTAGGTTGGTTTATTCCCAAATGAATTAATGTGGGACACAGGGAGGGGACACACAGTGACATGCCGTCACTCCCCTGTAATGTGGGACGCTGGAGAGAGACACACAGCTTACTGTCACATTCCTGTTATAGACTGGGGCGGTATACACAATGGCATGCCGTCACACTCCGGTTATATGCTGAGGAGCTACCCCTAGGGGCAGATACGTAGTGACACACTACCACACTTCGGCAAGAGGATACACAGCACCAGGCCATTACACTCCTGTCGCTCATTGACCGGGCGCAAATTAAGAAGCTTTGCCATCTTTCTCATTCCTTCCTTCTATCCATTTACACTGTCATTTCTTTCCCTTTATTGTGCCCACCACCCCATGCCCAGGAACGACCTGCCTCAAATGCTTAACTGCTTCTCTTTCATTTGCTGTTAAACCATCAGCATCTGTTTGGTGATCAGCAGTCATGCTGGCTAGTTTTTACGTCAACCCTGCACAGGCTGGAGTCTTTTTGGAAGAGGGACCCTCAACTGAGAAAATGCAGCCACTAAAGAGGCTGTGGCCAAGCCAGTGGTGCATTCTCTAGGTTGACGACTTATGTAGAGAGACCCAGTTCACTGTGGGCAGTGTTAACCGTAGATGGGTGCTGTAAGCAGGCAGGCTGAACACGCCAGGAGGAACAAGCCAGTAGGTAGCCTTTTTCTCTGGTCTCTGTGCCAGTTCCTGCCTTCAGCTCCCTGCTCTGAGTTCCTTAGACAAGCTTTCAACTGAAATAAACCCTTTCCTAGTTGTTTTTGGTCATGACATTTTATTATAGCAACGGAAAATCTAAGTTGGACAGAAACTTTTTTCTATCAGAATATCATTATGTGTTCTCTTCTGAAGCCCAGGCCAATGATATCATAACATTCTGTCATCTTTTATTCACTGAAAGCAAACCATCGTCTCCCCGACAGGCTCCCTTCGCCATGGACCCTGTTCCCGTTTAAGGACAGATGCCCCACACTTTGGCATGACCTCAGGGACGGGCTTGTGCTTTAAACAACTTCATTTCTGCCTCTGCTATCAACTCTTCTGATGATGTGACATTGATAAAAATGAGCTCCATAAGTCAGTCGCCATAAAAATCTTTTAACGATGCAGGAACCTTTTAAATTGCCCTCAAAGGAGCTGGGTGAAATATATTTCTATTTTTATCTTGACTTTTGGAATATTCCCCTGTCCATTTATGGGACGTGAGAGACAGAACAACAACAAAATGAACAGCTATCTAGGAAAAAAATGAAACGTTATTATTAGGACTAAAATCAGCTATGCTAGGGAGGAAAGGACAGGCCAAACTCGCGGGGACTGCAGAAGCAGTGCTTTATCCAGAGCAGCTGCCCCAAGGTAAACAGAAAGCTTTGCAGTCTAATCTCAGATTTAAGTCTCTAGCTTTCCTCCTAATCACTCAGCCCCATGCCAGCAGAGCGAAAGAGCTTGTATGTTCTTACAAAACCGATGGCACGAAGCCCAGAAACTATGAAATAATGTATCACGGAACCATATTTGATCCTTGAGTCATAAATGCTGTGTCAACCTTAGCGTGTGTCTGACAGAGAAAGTCTCTATGGAGTATGACGTCGGTGGCATAAAGCCTACAGTCAGCTACGGGGTGCAAGTATGGCGGGGGAACATGACTGCGGAGGTATTGGGAGGGTTTTAATTAGTTTGTCGTGTGCACAAAGAGCTACTTGCAAAACTGTATGTCCTAGAGTTTAGGCATAACCTATACATTCCTAAATGACTCCTTTCAGAAGCAATATCGACTCAAAATATGGCAATATTCTTTTGGCATCTGTTATTATAACCAGGCTGAATTCATGAAAATGGTAACAATTGATAGTTGTCCAGTCCTTACTCTCATGATTTATGTTCATTTGGGGCACCTTGTTCCAATTCAGATTCTGATTTGGTCATTCTTGGATGGACCAGAGGGTCTGCACTTCAAACCGGCTCTCGGGGAATGACGAAGTTTTGGATCCTTCGACCACATGTTGAGGTAGACATGCGCTATCTCACAAGGCACATGCATTTGATATGTGTCCAGCAAGTTAGAACACATGTGCCTTCTCTCCCACCCATCTCCAGACATTTGCATTGTGTTCGTTTCCTCTTGTCCAGCGTGTACCTTGTTGGTGAACCCGATAATCCTGAAGCAGTGCTGGATCGCCTCAAACTGTCTCCGGTAAGACTCCTTGGATGTAATGTCCCTCATGACTCGTCCAGTTTCAGCAGCTATGTATCTGAAGAAAGTGGAACATGACCTGATACAGTAAGCACTCATTCAGCACGCAGCGCTGTGGGCCAGCGCAGGCAAACGTGGGCTTCTTCGCAAGGGTATTTCGTTAACAGGCCAACGGTGTGGCTGGGAGAAACGGCTGTAACTGAGCTTTTCATCACTCTAAACGATGCCCGTGCTGAGATGCCGTTCTTGCTCCCTCCTCTTGCATAGTTAACTTAACAGAATGAGTTTCCAGTTAAGGAAACAGCTTCATTTACCTCTAGATTTGTCAACGGCTTAACTGAACCCTCATTCAAAATTAACCAGCAGCCTCCTCCCTGCCAGCAGCAAGGGGCTTTGCAATTATACTTACCTAGGAGGCTTTTCCTCGGGAAGTCTGAACTCGGAAAGTTTCTTTTGGTGATAAAGGCCAGCATAAATATAGTAAAATATGTGAAAATTTTTCTCTCCCCTGGAAAAAAAATTGAGGAAGAGGTTTTATTTATACCATAGTCCAGGCTTTCCTGACCTAAATAATTGATTCCATTTCCTCTTTTGTATAAAATATTATTTTGCAACAAATTTACATATGCAGGCAATTAAGTATGCATCATCCCAATTAGAAAGCAGCAACAGTGGTAATATTCATAGAGTAGTAATGGCAATGGCACTTTACCGAACACATGTAACTTCACTATAAACTCAAAATAATTCAGGATTGTGCACTCTACCAAAAGCTAAAACCCCAGCCATTGACTTGCTTCTTGTGATCCTCCTGCCTCCTACCTCCCCAGTATGGGCATTACAATGTACATGACACCATGCCAAGCTACTTTTATTATTTTAAATAAACTTTATTGTTTGTATTTAAGGTATGCAGTATAACACAAAATATACAAAGATGATTGAAAAGATTATTATATTTTAATGCATAAATGTACTGAAAGCCAATTATGGCAGGAACTACTCTGGATGCCAGAGAAACAGGACCAATAGAAGTCATAGCCTTTTGGAGCATTCCTTCTAGACGGAGTTAGATGGCCACAAATATGGTCTCACCTTACTTTCTTCATGTGTCATACAGGCCTAATAATGTCAGCCTCCCAAGTTAGTAAGAGACCTAAATGAAGTTTCTTGAATTAGTTATGTGGTGGTATTGCACACCTTTAATCCCAGCACTTGGGAGGCAGAGACAAGAGGATCTCTGTGAGTTCAAAGCCAGCCTGATCTACAGAGTGAGTTTCAAGACAGGCTCCAAAGCTACAGAGAAACCCTGTCTCAAAAACCTAAAGACACACACACACACACACACACACACACACACAGTGAGAGAGAGAGAGAGAGAGAGAGAGAGAGAGAGAGAGAGAGAGAGAGACTTGAATGAGATGGAGACACTTTATGGCTTTTCAGGTCCTTCCCTTTCAACTGTGGTGGCTCTGTCCTTCTCTGAGCACACTTGAGTATCCCATTCTTGGTCCCCCATCTCTGGATGAGGTCTGACAAATGGGTTTTGAATAAAGAACGTCTGAGAGGCTGACCAAGTGTAAGACAGCTCTCCGAGTCCTTGTGAACAGATGTCTGTCTGTTTCCCTTCTGTCTCCAACTGCCCCCAACTCCTGCTCAGGCTTTGGGGCTTCACTGTAGGTTTATTTCTCTTGACTTGGTGTAAGTGATCTCCATTCTCCACATTATTCTTTATCCTAGCCCCCTGATTGTTTCCTTTAAAACCCTCACCCCCAGCTCCCCCCTTGCTTTATCTCCCTTCTTCTCCCCACTCCTGTCTCCATTTTGTTGGCTAACTCCTGAGCGATCCACAGATCTCAGATCAAATGTCTTGAATCCTGGAAACCTATCTTTCCTCTCAGATCCCAGGTGCACTGGCTCGTTTCACATCCACTTGACACCAGGCAGAGTCATTTAGGAAAAGAGAACCTCAGCTGAAAACAAATGCTCCTACTGGATTGTCCCATGGTGCATTTGGTGTGAGAATGCAGGCTAGGCAAACCATGGGAGCAAACTGGCAAGCAACACTTCTCCGTGGCCCCTGCATTGGCTCCCACTCCAGGTGTCTGTCCTGTTTGCGGTCTCATCCTGACTTCCTTTGATGCTGGGCTGGGATGTCAAAGTGTAAACAAAAGCAACCCTTTCCTCCCCAAGTTGCCTTTGGCCACGGTGTCTTATTGTGGACACAAAGACTTTGTCTGTCTTGTTTACTCTAGCAGTTCCTGCAGAGAACACGTTACTGTCATATAGCGGGCATTCAATATTGAGTGGCTGTGTGCATGGGACCTGCTCCTGAGAAACTCTTGTGTCCTGCAGTCATCAGAACCAATCAGAAGAAGAGTGGCTAATACTGCCAGTCTGCACCACATCGCACACGCTTTTGAGTCATTTATACAGATGAATCGTCAATCTTCCCAGTAAACCCGTGAGGCCATGGCTGGTAGCATCTCTGTTTCCCAAATGAGGCCCAGGAACGTTCAGTGATAGGCCCAACATTAGAGTGTCAGAACCAGGGTCAAGCCCAGAGAGACATGCCCTTAATGACTATTACCAATTACTACCCTGCTTTTCCTTAAACAGAGTGTTGTAGTTTGAATAATGTCCTTTACAGGCTTGTATCTTTGAATGCTAGGTCCCCAGCTGGTGCCACTGTCTGATAAGGTTATAAAACCTTTAGGCAGTGGAGCCTTGCTGGAGGAAGTACATTACTTGGGGCAGCCTATGAGGTTTGACCGCCTGACTAGACAGCTTCCGGTGTGTCGATGAAATGTGATCAGCCAGCCTCATGCTCCTGGCTATCACCTTTCCCCATTGGAACTGCAAGACAGAGCAAGCCCTCCCTCCCCCAAGCTCTGTATCATAGTCGGCTACCACGGCAGCAGGGAATTGCATCCTTTCTCTACCAATTGAAAAATCAATCTGTGGAACATTCTCAGTGCTGTTTTTTTGTTTGTTTGTTTTTTGTTTGTTATTGTTTTATACAATCTCACATTTAAGGAATAAAATGGATTCGTTTGTTTGTTTGAGGCAGGCTTTCTCTGTGTAGCCCTCGCTGTCCTAGAATTCACTCTATAGACCAGGCTGGTCTTGAACTCAGAGATCCACCTGCCTCTGCCTCCTGAGTACTGAGGTTAAAGGCGTGCACCACCAGCACCTGGCTGATAAAGTGGATTTTTAAGATGTGAGCAAATTAATTATTGTCACACCCTCCCTTACATAACCAACTCAAGAGAAACAGACACACCATCCATAAAGCCCTCCCCCAAGTCCTTTGAGCTCCCTCCCCTTAACGCCTTTTAGGAAAAAACAAAAACAAAAACAAAAAATTCCAAAAAACAAACCTACCACCAAAGGCTGGGGAGATGACTCTGCTGTTAAGAGCACTGGTTTCTCTTGCAGAGGCTTTGAGTTCGGTTCCCAGGCTACACATGGCAGCTTACAACCATCTATAACTCCAGTTCCAAGGACCTGACTTTCTCCTCTGGTGTCTTAGAGTAACAGGCACCCATACAGTGCACAGACATGCATACAAATAGAACACTCACAAACACAAGACAAAACTAAATCTTAAAAATCAAACGATAACCACCACTAATCCTTTGTTTAAAACACTAAGGGAGACTAACGAACAAGGGGAGATGGAACCTTTGAAGCTCCCGAATCCTCCACGTTTAGATTGGCAAAGCAAACACCGGTGATAAAACATTAAGTGCACCTACGCGGCCTGCTTTATAACTCTGGACTTTTCAAGGAGGTACTCGGAGATTCTCGCCCCCATCACAGCTCCAGTTGGTGTGAACATCATTTCCAGATACTTCCCAAACCGGCTGGAGTTGTCATTGATGGCCGTGCACGCGTTCCCGAAGGCTTCCACCAGGGAGTTCACTTGGAGGATTTTCTGGCGTAAGGTTTGATTGTTGGCCTGGGGTGAGCGGATGGTGGTTAGGAGAAGCTTTCAGAAGCAGCATTCTAATAATATCTCGCCGGGGACCACACACACACACACACACACACACACACGTAGCTCACGCACCTTTTCTAAGGTACTCCACTTTGGGGAAGTTAGTGTCAACCCTGATGAAGGAGTCACCAGGTACCATGAGTCACAAAGCCAGATTCGCTGGCAGGGTTGGTTTTTTTTTATTGTTGTTGTTTCGTTTTTATTATTATATACAGTGTTCTGCCTACACTCCAGAGGAGAGCACTAGATAGAATTACGGATGGTTATGAACCACCATGTGGCTGTTGGGAATTGAACTGAGGACCTCTGGAAGAGCAGCCAGTGCTCTTAACCGCTGAGCCATCTCTCCAGCCCCGGTGGCAGTTTTAAAGTCTGATTGCATTTCGTAGGAAAGTCTTGACAGATGTTTCCTGCCTAGCAGTTTAGAAAGAATCCCAAATACAGACATCCCCCAACTTTTCCACTGTGCTTTTCAATGCACCTCGGTGATAACAAAGGCGTCCTCAAGCCTTTCCTTAGTCAACGTGATGCCCTAGCGGCCAAGGATCGGCACCTCCCGGACTAATCTTGCAACCCTTCCTTCCATGTCCTTGTCCAAGCTACCATTTTCCTTTTCCTCAACTGTTGCTAGAGGGATTCCATTCGCCGTTTTTTCCTAATCACCACAGGGGCTCTGACGCAGCGTCTACTCGCTTCTCCCACTGAACAGCTCAATGTTTCTACTACACGGGAAACACACAAAATAATTGATTTGCCCACAATGTAGTAACTCCGTGTTGGTTTTATTTTTCTCACGACGTGAAGTAAGGACAGCATGCTGGCATCTTAAGAGCTAGCTATCAGGAGGCAACACAACAAAGATGGAATTTTCTTATGTGACTCCTGATTTAAAAAAAAAAAGACTATAGTCCGCCCATCTGCTATAAAACATACAGTTGGTTCTGCGGGGGCTTCAAACCGCGATCCAGAATTCGGTTGGCTCTTACCTTTCCCAAGAAAGTCAGATGCTGAACAATGAGATGGGTGCTTTCTGTCTTCCCTGATCCACTTTCTCCACTGATGACAATGCACTGACACAGAAAACAGAGTCAGGGAGGAGCCCAACCAATCACCACACAGAAACAACCTGCACATTTGGTTGTGGTTCTTACACATAACAAACCCCACTATACTCCTCCATGTTTCATTGAACAACCATTCTATCCTGGAACTCTTTCCAGTATATGACGAACTGGGACAGCCACTTGTCATTGCAAAGTTTAGATGTAGCCTTGTCTGATGGTGCCATTGTTAACCGATCCTTGTGGGTTGTTTGGTCAATTCTTGTTATAAACTGTATTGCAATGAATAATCCTATACACAGGTCATTGTATCTACATTCAGGTTCATCGGCTGAATGAATTCCAAGTGGGCAACATTCAACCAAAAAGTAAAGGTATTTGTAAAATAACTACTACTGGATTGCTTGACTTGGGACCATAGTAGGATTCTAGTTCACTAGAGGACAATTTATCTTTACTGGCATATTAGAAAGGGTACAGCATCCAGGGACAGCTACGTAGGAGACATGAACGGGGCATGTGGAGTTGAGGCTGGCATCCAGGATGGAGTCTGTTGTCTTGCAGCCTCACCACACAGTGCATGGATTTGTGCTAATTTGATTAGCACAAATCTGAAGCAGGTATTCTATGCTCTTTGAATCTGTACTTCCTTTATTACGAGTGAGGTCAAATGCCTGCCACATGCTTAAGGCCAACCATATTTTCTTTTTTGTTCTCATTTCTGTTGCCTGTTTTTCTTGTGTTGTTGGCTGTGGTCTTCCTACCACTTCCGGGAGCTCTTCCTGCACAAGGGAAATCATTGGTGAGGGAGAATAAAAGCGACATCGTTGGCCTTTGTCCTTGGATCCTGACAAACAGCTTCTTGGAATTTCCTAACTGATGGAGAGCATCTTCTCTCAGGAAGAATGCCTCTAACCGCACCTCTGCTATGCATGAGGTGGCTCCAAGTGGGAGCCAGACTACTTCACATGGGGATGGGCAATGAGAAAAAACAGATAGATAGATGGTCAGAGGATGGGAACTTTCAGACGACCTCCCCCATCTTCCAGAAAGGAAAAGAGGTTGCAAATTGAGTTCAATAAAAACTTTTAATGAAAAGAACTCTTTTATTTATTTCTATTATTTAAAATATCCTATGAGCATCTACCCCTTGCATATAATGTTGGGTTTTTGCAAAAGTAATTTCTTTCAAATACATCATGGACTTTGACTATATTCATCTCAGTCTTATTCCCTGAGTTCTAAAAACTAAAAACTTTTTTAAAGATTTGTTTATTTATATTGTATATGCATTGGTGTTTTGCCTGCATGTGTGTCTATATGAGGGCATTGAATTCTCTGGAACTGCAGCTACAGACAGTTGTGAACTGCCACGCGGGTGCTGGGAATTGAACTTGGGTCCTCTGAAAGAGCATTCAGTGTTCTTAACCGTTGAGTTATAAAATCTCTTAAACAAATGAGACTCAGTGAGTCTAGGGACTGTTGAATTGAAGGTCCTGGGAGAGAGTGCTCAGGTGAACGGCAGGATCCTACATGCTCCCACCCCTTTCCTCCACCTGTTCCATGCATGTCTCCCACGTGGTTGCCCTGGTTTGTACCTAATATGCCAGTCAAGACAAACTTAGTGTTCTCCTTAATTCTTTGAGTTGATCTAGTGAATTAGCCAGGCTGAGAGAGGATTATTGGAACCCTTGAACTTGTCCTTGGCTTGGCAGGAGTGTGAGGCTCCTGGGTACTCCATTTGTGGCCGGCATCTGACATGTGGGCATTTTTGTTGAAATTAACCTATAACCTATGGGGGGTCTGTGCTAACTCTAGTGTGTCAGGATTGCTCTAAATTGTACGACACCCTGGGAAAAACATTTAGTTTTGGAAAACACACAATTCAGTGTCAGAAACAAAATAGGGTGGGGATGGGATGACAGAAAAAAAAATAAAAACCTTTCAACAGGCAAGCTTTTTAGCTTGAAGGTCATGCTGCTCTATCCATTTCATCTCTCTCTGGTAAATCTGTGGACAATTTGTAAATCTCCATAATAATGCAGAGAAGGTCATCTCTAAAGTCAGCAAACCTCTCTTCAGTGAATTTTGTTGTGCAGTGGTTTGAGTGAGAAATGCCCCTTACAGTTTAGGGCATTTGAACACTGGGGCCCTAGTTGGTGGCCCTGTTTGGGGAGGTTTTGGAGGTGCTGCCTTGCTGGAGGGGTGTTGTCACTTGGGAGCTCTGAGAGTAAAAGTGTTCTGCCTGCTTCTAGTTTGCTCTCTGCTCTGCATTTCGAGGAGAGCATTCTCGGTTGCTGCTCCAGCAGCCATCTTGTTTGCTGTCATACTTTCCCACCGTGACAGACTCTTACACATCTGGAACTGGAAGCCAAATAAACTCTTTCTTCCGGAAGTTGTCTTGGCCATGGTGTTTTCTCCCAGCAACAGAAGAGTAACTAATACACACTGGTAATAATTTTGTCTACCTTCAACAGACCCAAAAGGTTAGATTTCTTTGGTCTCTGGAAATACATACATAGTAAGCTCTCATAAAGATTACTTGCAAAATTAGGTTCCCTCTATTTGTTTACAGAAGACAGAAATATAGGAGACTAAACCAAGCAAAATGGAGGAGGGGTGAAAGGCAGGATAAGCCATGCTGTGAATTAGAAGTCTAGACAATTAAAATTTATGGGTTTAACTTTGTGTTTAACTAATATTGAGCTTAAAGTTTGTCAGTCTTAACCCTAGCCCATCAAATTTCTCAGCAACTAGATGGTATAGGGCCAGGTGTCCAGGGAGTGCAGTATTTCACATACAGGGGGCCTAGTCATGAAGATCCTAAGATGTTAATAGGAGGGAATTTCATTTATGCCATTATATATCCCATTTTTATTACAGCCATTGCATGTAATCAGGTTGTGGCTGCCCTATGTTCTCATTATGTCCATATTAGAAATGTCTTTACTGCATTTCACGAGAGAAAATGAGTGTCCCCTGTGTGTTATGAATCTCAAAAGGGTTTTGTCCTTCTCAGGCATCCAGTGCCCCTGTACCGCAATTCCATTTCCCATTTCCTCAGGCTAGCCTCTGCAACCTCAGGTCCCATTTCCTCGGGCTAGCCTCTGCAACCTCAGGTTCAAACAGAAACAGGCAGACGGACCATGCTTCACCTTGTGAGCTGGCAGACGAGGAAGGCAAGTCCTTACCTGGTCTTTGTTGAAAGTGACCAAACACTGGTAAGCATTGTCTGCTGACGCAAATATGTGGGGAGGATTCGAGGCTCGCTTCACCCCGTGATAAAGCCTGGAAAACTGGAGGGAAAATGCAGTTCATTTAAAGGACCCTTCAAGTATTCCCTGGACCATCGAAGGCATTTGTTACCCATTACCCTGAAGAACTAGGGTTTTCACTGCTTCTGAAAGGCTTGGGGATCTGCAGACCTATATTCTGACCCCTGTTCTCTGTTACTGGCTACACAAGCTTGGATAAGGGGCACTGACCACCCTACTCTGTGTCTCCCTCTTCTGAAGAAGCCATAGTATTTACAGCTTTCTGGTCTCATAGGGTGAGAAGAAGTGACCCAACCCAGTGCTTGGCACATAGCAAGCATTCAGTAATTAACTTGTATTGCTGATTGCTTTAAGAAGTTTCTCCCAAAGATTAAAAATTCCATTCATGTTAGATTATTGTCTATGGTTTGGGATATTAGCCCCATGATGGTGATGGATCACACAGTTGCAATACTAATTTATTTTGTTTGCATGTTTGATTTTCTTTCTCCAGTGCCAGGGTTTGAGCCCAGGGCCATGGACATGCTGAGCAACTGCTCTACCACTGAGTTACACCCTGGCCCAGCCTTGTGATTTTTAATTACCCAGCAAGGATCAAAACATGCTTTGAAACCAGTCCTCACCTGTGGGGAGTATATGCTTAGATTCTGGAAGGGGTTTAAGGCAATTAGGATATCTCCCACATAGGTGTAGATCAGCGCATCTGCATAGCGTTTCTCCAGCCAGTAGATAATTGTATCCTAGGAAGAGGAGACACAGCCTTGAGAAACATCATCAGTCGAGGCAGAGATGCTGAGATCAGCAATGAACTCCTTACACACTTTAGTCTAAAAAGATGAAGACAACCTGTTATGATTCTAAGTCTCTGAAAGGGTGACAGATGCCTTGAAACGACGCCGTAAGAATGTGTTGAAATAATTAAGAGTTGCTGACAGGCATCGAGATAGCCAACCAAGATGTCAGTTGTTGCTGGGTTGGGGGCAGAATTTGTCCAATCAGAAGGTTGTAGTTATAATTAAATTCAACTGTATACAACAGCTTCCCCCAGGTTCTGGGACCCGAACTTGGGGCATCTGGAAGAGCAGCCATTGCTCTTGCTCTTACCAGCTGAGCCGTCTTGCCAGCCCTAGTAATTTCATTTCTCAAAAGTTACACTTCAAGTCTTGATTGTGGGACTATGGGATTGAACTGTACTGTTACACATTAGTGACTGAAGGGTTGACGCTGAGGGTCCCCCAGCAGTAGACTCTACAGATGCAGGTTCAACTTAACTAACAGCCCAAGCAAATGTAAGTATTCTGAATGAGGAATTATCTTAGTTTTCAATTTCAAACATGAACTATAATAACGCCACCATCTCTGTGAAGGAAATATCTCCTTATGAAGAACAAACAATTATCTTCAGGGTAAAGTGCAATGTCTTTTTTTATTAAATAGAAAATAAATTTAGGTTGGTGAGCTTCATTGGTCAGGCCTATGACAGAGGGGACTTTACTAGAGATTCTTTTTCTTCATCATTCCAAAACTTATATACAAACACACAGAGAATTGTAGTTACCAAATGGAATGTTCCTTGAGCGTCACTGCATGGTTAACCAAACAGTTTTTGAATGACTTTAGAAAGATGTCCAGCGAAGGGGCAGGCACCCTGTGTGAAACACAAACCATGCACGAGAGTAGTCTACTAAGTATTCAGTACCTCATCCAGGACCTCGAGATTGACCAAGTCATCCCCGAGGCAATGTCTGTCAACATCCTCCACTCGATAGGGTCTTCTGGTATGCATCCTTTCGTGCCTGGAAACATGCAGAGAGTATCAACACCCAGACAGTGTATGCAGCAGAAGAAGGCGGGCAATGAGGGCGGCTCGCTTGGAAACCCAGCCCACGATATATCCAGCGATCTTAGCAGCCGAGAGAGCAAGGCCCATCTAGACACCACCCTCTGCCTGTGGCGCCATCGGGGGAAGCCTCTCTTAAACCAGAGTGAAGAGCTTTACCTAGTGGACCCACCAAATATAAGCTTTTGTTTCCTAAATTCCCGCTGCAGCACTTTCAGGAGATATCTTCTACATTTTTCTTTCCTGCTCGGTGTGGCACACAGTCTGCCCCAGTGCGATGCTTCGTATTAAAGGAACCAAAATCCTGACACCATACAGCAAGAGCTCTCGTTTAGACCATTCCCCGTCATGTTGGAGCATAGACTTTCCACTGAGCCACGGCTGTGGGGCCTTCCTTCTCCCAATGTCCCCTCGACCTGACTGCCAGTACCCAAAGACTTGACCGTGTTTTGCATTTTACCTTCTCTGAAAATGCCTTATGACCTTTCTCTGAACAATTCCTCTCATGAGGTGACTGCTCTCTGGAGACATTCTCTCAGCCGATTCCTCAGTGTTGGTCAAGTGCGTGCAGGCATCCATGGGCAACACGTGGGTTATGCGTGTTGAATTATAAAATTTGATATTCTGGGAGTATTACTTAGCAAATGTGTTTTTGTACCCAACCTTATCTGTTTTGTTAGCATTTATTTGTGCACGTGTGCACTTGTGCGTCCATATGTGTGTGTCCACAGGCTCTCATGGAAGCCAGAAGGCAAGCTTCAGGGGTGAGTTCTCTTCTTCTGTCTAGGTTCTAGGAGTTGAGTGCATGTCATCGGGCTTCTGTGACAAGTGCTTTTACCCACCGAGTCATCTTTTCAGGCCCATACTTATAAATTCCCATTTGGGACATTACTTACCAACTATTTCAAAAATTTGAGTGATAGTAAATAAAAACCTCCTTTGGTACTCCAAAGTACATTTTGCTTCGGTTTTTGCTTCTTTGTTTGTTTAATGAAGTCTCATGTATCCCAGGCTGATCCCTTAGAACTCACTGTGTTAATAGAGAAGGACCTTGGGCTGCTGATCCTCCTGCCTCCGCCTCCTGAGTGCTGGGATTACAGACACACACCACCCCTCCCCATTTGCCTGGCGCCGACAATCAAGCCCAGGGCTTTGTGTATGTCACATAAGCCCCCTATCAACTGCGTCACATCCCAACCCAAAATGTAATTCTTTAAGTCATAGAATTAATTGAAGTAGGCACTCCCATAATTCCCTTTGTGAAACTATGATGCTCACGGCTGCTGGGGGCAAGCAGAGGCCTACAGGGTAAAAGCTCTGGTCCCTGTCTCAGAGTGGCTAACCATGAGTGAGACGCTCAAAAAACTCCCCTAACAGCAACAATTCAGGCCTCTTCACCTCTAAATGGAGTTACTCACAGCTAGTCTATCGGCGGAGCCGGTGACTGTGAAAAGCACACATAATCTTTGACATAAAAATTCAAACGGGACTTTAAAATGCATCAGGAACTACTCTTAGGCCCTTATCAAAATCCAGAATCAACAGTTTTGCACAACTTCTTCCATGACTCAAAAATACCATTACCTTATACTTGTAAAATGCTCTCCTATGTCCTGTCGGTTCACCAGTGGGGAGCATCCTGCTTCCCTGGGTGGTGCCATATACCCAATATTGTCACAGTTTAAAGGGTGTCACCCTCTGATGGTAGCTCTGTCTCCCTGGGTCCCACAGTTGGCTTTGCCTAATGCTTTGCTGTACAATACTATGTACAACAATCATGGAATCTTCACGTGTAATCTCCTCCTTGCTACACACACAGAGGAATTAGGTAGGAAAACACCTATACCAAGGCCTCCCTTCCCAGTTCCCATCACTGATAGTTTCAGATTAGAAGGTTCATCTAAAGCATATTAGCCGTCTCCACTATGGGAGTCAGTTTAATTGCAAAAGTCTGAAATAAATTTGGACTTCATTTATTCAATCTAAATCAGTAGCCTAGGCATTCTTAAGTGGTTAGTCAGAACATTTTCTTTGTCTATGTCTTCACATATAGGAGATGTCAAAGAGAAGCCACACTGGGAGCTGCCAAGATAGCTCAGCGGTTGAGTGTGGACTGCTTTTCCAGAAGACCTGAGTTTGATTCCCAGCACCCACGTTCACAGTAGGCAGCTCACACATGCCTGCAAACTCCAACTCCAGGGGCTCTGACACTTCTGACTTCCGCAGACACCAGCAATCATGAACACACACCGATACATACACATAATTTGAAATAATAAAATTTCCAGTTCATGCTTTTAATCCCAGCACTCAGGAGGCAGAGGCAGGCAAATCTCTGTTGGAGACCAACCTGGTCTACAAAGCGAGTTCCAGGTCAGCCAAGGTTACATAGAGAGATCGTCTCAAAAATAAATAAAATAAGAATTATTTTTTTAAAGATAAAGAAATCAAATTGGTTTAAAGTATATTCTCTGGGTCAGGTTTGGTAATGCACGGTATAAACTCAGAAATTGGGAGGCTGAAGTGAGAGGATCAGGAACTCAAGACTATTCTGGGCCACATGAGGAGCTCCCAGTCAGTCTGGGTTACAAAGAGACCTTGGCTCATGAAACGGGAACAGGGGAGGGAATGCTAATTTTCACTGTTACTAAGAGTTGCCATCTGCACTCTTGCTTGCCATTTTATTAAATAAAATACCAGGACGGTTCATACTTCTACCCCAAATCCCCTCTATATAAGCCTAAGTTTTCCCCTTTAAAGTTTAACATAAAGAAAAAACCCTCAACTTTTTAATATAGTAACTGAATTCTCATTGTATTAACTTCAGCCAGCTTAGCTCATTCCTTAATTATGTCTACAAACTGTGTGAAATAAACTATTTGACAAAGTTGGCAAAAGTTTGGAGAGATGACTCAGCAGTTAAGGGGACTGGCTGCTCTCGTAGAAGACCCTGGTTCCATGCCCAGCACCCACATGGCAGCTCACAACCATCTGTAACTGCGGTTCCGGGGATCTGCTGCCCTCTTTTGGCTTCCAAGGGCTCAAGGCACATGTGTGATACACAGACACTGCCCACAGAGCTGCTTCTGTTAAGGTGGAGTAAGTATCCTCCACCTGTCTCCACTTAAAGGCAACTAAATACTCAGGATGGAATGTTTGAGCAGCTAAGGATTGTGGGAAGTGAAGGCTCATGAGCAGATGGGTAAAGAAAGCAGAACTTGAGATCCCAGCAAGCCAGTGTGATTCATCCCACTGCTGCTAGCCTGGACCGCACGAGGGATGTCTGTCCTTCATGCTAGATGGTGCTTGTGCAGGCAGCTACAGATGAAAGCCCTTGTAAACCTCAGCTGCAACCTCATAATAATTGATTCTAGCATGAAGTTGATTCTCAGTGTGCACAGACACAGTTAGACACCACCAAGATCCAAACTGGTGTTTTTGCAAGTCCACCAGCAGATTGTCTATAGCTCCGGCAGTGTATCTGTCTGTTGTGCTCCGGCAGTGTATCTGTCTGCTGTTCATCTCACACACCTCATCTCCAAGAATCACGCCGATGAGCTTGAATCTCATCAAAATCTTCCCACAGATTTTAGCAAAACAAAAAGATATTTTAATTACTATTATTAGCATTGTGTGGCCTTCTCTCCTACTGATAGGCAATTTAATCCTTAGAGTTAGATTTGCTCAAGATTGTAGTTGGCAATCTAGAAGTTAGTGTCGATATAAGATATTCCCACTATGATAAAGACCAGCTCACTTTTTCAATCACACACACACACACACACTCTTATACACATGCACACGTATATGCACATGCATACATACATATACACATGCACTCACAAATACACATGTGTACTCATGTATACACATGCATACTCACGTTACACATGAACACACATATGCATACTCGCATACACATATGCACACATGCATACTTACATATACACATGCACACAATGCATACTCACATAGGCATATGTATATACATGCATACTCATATATATACATGTACACACATGCATACATAGCCACATGTATATACACATGCACTCACATATACACATGCACACACATAAATACATATACACATACACACACATGCATACTCCCTTAGACACATGCACACACGCGTATACACATGTACACACATGCATACTCACATATATACATGCACACTCTCATACACATGTACACACATTACTCCAGTAGATCTATTTGCCATCTCCAGTAGTGTTCCTTTTAAAAGGATGCCCTACTTCATTTTCCTCCTGAGGGGTTTGGAGAGCTGAAAACTCTGATCCCAATGCTTATTTCTTGAAAAAAAAATCCTAGACTTTAGATAAACTTATAAAATGTTTTATGTTTCTCTAATTTTAGTTAAAACCAACAAAATTAAATTTGGCTTATTTTTCTGTTTTCTTTGATGGTTTGTTCTTGCCAGTGACTACAAACTCAGATTTTCTAAAACTCTCATGCTCCACCTAGTGTCATAACTTAAGAACAGCATCTGCTAACAGGTCTCTAAATAATTCCTTGTTTAATACAAAAATTATAGATCTTCAGCTTAAAAATACTTGAGTTTCATTCTGTTCAGATGGATACCTTTCTCAGCCTAGATATAGTATGGAGGGTCTTGAACCTTCCCCAAAGCATTGTGCCTCACCATCTCTGAGGAGTGGATGGGGGGTGAGGGTTAGGTGGAGGGGATGGGAAGAGGAGGGAAAGAAGGAACTGGGATTAATATGTAAATGAAAAAAGATAATTTGTTTTAAAAAAAATTAAAGAAAAAAATACTTGGGTTTGGCCGGGAGATGGTGGAGCACACCTTTAATCCCAGTACAAGGGAGGCAGAGGCAGGTGGATCTCTGCAAGCTTGAGGCCAGCCTGGTCTATGGAGTGAGTTCCAGGACAGCAAAGGCTATGCAGAGAAACCCTTTCTTGAT